TCTTACAAATTTTGGTACATTGTTTTTCATTATCATTCAGTTCAAAATATTTCCTGACTTCCCCTGTGATTTCTTTCCCCCCCCCCATAGGTTATTCAAAAGAGTATTGTTTGGGGGTTTTCTTTATAGCTACAGCTTTTTTACCTTCTGCTATACTGGGGATTGGACCCAGGACCTTTGCACTGAGCCACATTCCCAGCCCTTTCTTTATTTTTTCATTTTGAATCAGAGTTCCAAGTTACTGAGCAGCCCAGGCTAGATTTGAACTTGCAATCTGGGGCTGGTGAGATGGCTCAGTGGTCTAAAGCACCTACTTGGAACAAGCTTAGCAAAGCACAGGGACCTCGGTTCAATCCCCCAGCACCACATGCCAGCCAGCCCCGCCCCCTGGTGGGCTGAGCTGGCCACACACACACACACACACATGCACACTAAACAAATAAATAAATAAATGTTAAAAAAAAAAAAAAATGAACTTGCAATCCTCTTGCCTCAGGCTCCCAGAGTGCTAGAATTACAAGTATGCACCACCACACTTAGCTCTATTTTTGTTGTTGTTGTTGTTGTTATTTATAATTTAACTCCATTGAAGATTTGAGACCTGCTTTAAAATTCAGTATAGGACTCACCTCGGTGCCTGGTCCATGTGTACTTGAGTGTGCTAAGTATTCCATGCTCAGCTGCTGCGGAGTGAAGTATTGTAAAATGTCGTTCAGGTCACAATGGTTAATGATAGGTTCTGGTCCTCATATGAATTGTTGAGTCATTATGGTGGTCATCTAGTATGGCTGAAGCCCCTAAAACAGCTTATCTTCCCAGAGACCACCTCCCAGCTTCTTCTCCAACTCAGCCCAGGGTGCAATTTCCTCTCACCCTTCCTGCCACCTCAGGGAAGACCCCAGTCAGCTCCTCATGTATATCTGAACATCCCTTCAAACTCCACCCTGACAAAAGGCCATAAAAGCCTCAGCTTCCCTTTGTTCCAATCCAGAGAATTCCTCATGTTCCCCAGATGCTCTCCATGTCCTCCAAGGTAATAAAGCCCCTTCCTCTTTTTCCCTCTGCCTATTTCTCTGCTGCACCAGGCACCTGAGAAACCCTGTCAGTTAGTAATTCTGTTCATGATTTCCATATCTAAAAATCAAAGTCTTCCATATCTAGATATATGTGATATATGCCTACTTGTTTTGGCAGTACTAAGAAAGAAGTATTGAGATCTCTACCTATAAATATGAATATGTCTACTTCTCTTTTTCATTTTGTTAATTTTTTCTTTACCTTGTTCTTTCTCTACAGCTGAAAAATACTCCACAGTGTAGCTATACCATAGCATATCTCATGGGCTAAAGGACATTAAGATTAGTGAGTTCTATTGTCCTAACACCCTGGCAGTGAACACTCTTATATGTGCAGGAAGGCTCACTAGAACCAAATTTGCCAGCCAAAAAGCATGTACATTTTACATCTTTTTTTTTTAACGTTTTACATCTTGATAGACATTGCCAAACTTATCCAAATGGCTAGGATAGACTGGGTTTGTTTTGTTTTGTTTTGTTTTGTTTTGTTTTAAGATAAATAATGCCCAGTTCTCAGCACTATTATTGACACTGGATATTGTCAGTCTTCTTTGACATTCTGTGGGGGACAGGATGAGAGAATGTTGGCAAAGCAGTGTCTTGTTGCTTTCTCGGCATTTCCTTAAGTGTCATAAAGTCAAACAAAGGGCCGGGGAGATGGCTCAGTGGAGTAAGTGCTTCGCTGCCAAGCGCAAGGGCCTGAGTTCAATCCCTGGTTCCACCAAAACAATAAAAATAAAAATAAAGTCCAACAATATTCTGTTCAGTGGCCATACCCCTGAGCTAACCAAAACCTCAGTGGAGTTTTGGGGTTTTTGGGGGGTTTTTGGTACTGGGAATCAAACTAAAGACCTTGCACTTTGCCAGGCAGGCACTCATGCTGCTGAGCTAGCTCCCCAACCCTGCAGTGGAGCTTGGAGCTTTGAAATTACAACTTCTACTAAACTTTTAGTCCAGACTATTCCACTCTTTATCCTCAGCCTCAGTAGAGAAATGTTCTTACTTCCAATCACCAGCACCAATTCAGAACAGGAAATCTGAGATCGGCCAGATTGGGTTGGAGTCCTTCCAGCTGAGCCCTATGCAGCTAGCTGTGTGACCAAAGGTAGATACCTGGCCTCTGAGACAGTTCCAGCCCTCTGTTTTACGAAGAGGGCGATGAACACTTGCATGAGCATTATTGGACTGTGTGTGTGAAGTGCCCCAAACAGCACTCAGTGCCTAGTGGGCGCTGATTATTATTTTTCAAATAGGAATTCCTCCAACTCTTGTTAGGTGCCAGGCACTGAGGCCACCTGTTTTCTTGGGTTATTTGAGAAACCTTCACTGCAGTATGAGGTGGTACCACTTTAAGCATAAGGAAAACTGTGACTCCAAAGTGTCCCGTGCCTTTTCCATAGTCACACAGTAATGAACAGAGCTAAGGATGAAATCGGAAGTGCCTGGGCCAGGCGTGCGGCACATGTCTCTAATCCCAACACTCAGGAGGCTGAGGTAGGAGGATCACTGAGAGTCTGAGGCCAGCCTGGGCTACAAAATTAGCTCAAGGCCAGCTTGAACTGCATAGTGAAACCTTGTCTCAAAAAAAAAAAGTCTGGCGGCTCACCAAGCCTGTCTCACAGCACAGCCAGCTCATTTCACAGATTGGCTCACTGAGGTCCAAGGAAATGGAATGATGCATAAAATTAGATGGTGGGTGAGCAGCAGCCAGTTAACTAAATATCCCCCTCTTCCGGTGTCCAGCTGGGGAAAAGCCAGAGACAGAGGAGTTAGGACAGCCACTCAGCAGACAAGTCAAGAGCATGGAAAATGTCTCCTGCAGCCAATTTTCCTGAGGAGCCCTGCCTGCAGCTCGGGCTGGGAATGGAAAGTGTGCGGGGAGGAGGAGCAGCCCGTCCATCCGGAGAAACTGTTTGCACAGTCCTGCCGGGAGAGGCCCGAGAGAGGCCGAGAAGGGGCGGCTCCAGGAGGCAGAGGATGTGGCAGGCGCCCAGGGCTGGGTCTCCTGGGAGAAGAGCAGGCGTCCGAGCTCCCTGCTTCCTCTGTGGGCTCCCCCTCTGCCAGCACCCGCTGGGCCCCACCCACTGGTCTGGGCATCGGCCACTGGGGAGGAGCCCAGCCACTGGTAAGCCCAACTCTCTGGGGATGACACAGCTGACTCAGGGAGGGTGCAGGGGCCAGGAAGAAGGACTGACCCAGCTCTCACAAATCTTCAGGACTGGACTTGATAGCTATGGACCAATCTCTATGACACCAGGGTGGCGCCTCTACCCCAAAACTGCCCCCAACCCCCAGCTTCTCACTGTGCCCTGCGGTCCACCACTATAGGTACAGCAAAGCCTGAGGTTCAGATGCAGTCACCACTCCAGTTGTTAAATATTTAGATACAGTCCTGCTAATTATTAGCAACCCCTGTCCTCACTGCTCTCCAAGTCCCCTCCAAACACAGATGACACTTGGACTCTCCTCCCCACAGCAGGGAAGTTTGGGGCTGTGCTGGTTGATTGCCCTCAGTGGGTACCAATCAAAACCACTGTTGACATTTCCATCTCACTTCTGGAAACAACACTTTGGCTTCTAACTTGTTTCCTGTTTAAAGGCAAATGGTAGAAATTTAGAACAAGAGGAGCCTTTGCAATCTTTAAATTTTCCAGTGAGGAAAATAAGGTCCAAAGTGAAACAGAGACTTGCTCCAGTTCCCACAGCCTGTCCATGAAGAAAAGGCATTAGGACATGGGTCCCTGGTTCCTGACATACTCCCTGGCCCCACAAGCATTGAACTTTAGCAGATGACAGCGGTGGGTGAAGGCAGAACTGACAGCCAATCACCTATCTCTTATACCTGCTGTCATCGTCATGGCAACAGTCTCTTTGGTCACTATCTCCACAGAGATGGTTGCTGTGGCAATCCACCCAGGACATCACCTTCTTGACATACAAACACCTTACGATAAACCCAGAAGCAAATCTACTCCACAGCACAGACCCAGATCAGAGCTCCAAGGACAAAAGAGACTTGTCTCACCTCTCCCAACAAGTCAGTGGTGCTGGCAGCCCAGGTGCCTAGCCGCAGGCTCTCCCACTGCTGGCCCTTTCCGTGCTGACACCCCCACTTTCCTGCCTGCTTGGTGCTTCCCACATTCCTCCAGGCCTCAGTCCAGATCGCCTTCCCACGGCCTCTCACCCTTGGCGGCCAGTCAGCAGCTCATCCTCCTGGGAACCGCTGACTTGCGCATATCGGAGGACTCATCACAGGAGCTTCAGCATTGGTGGGGGCTCTCTGAAGACCAGAAAGCCTTCAACACCCTTTGCCCTCCACAGGAAGTGATCTCCAGCGGTGGAACTTCAGACGCCACAATCAGAACTTAGAGGCCGTTTGGGGAGATCAGGCCCTGCACACAGAGCCGGTCAGGGAGAGCTGCTGCCCTGCTGGGGCTCAGGTCACCCTCCTGAGACTGGTCCCTTCTGGACTTTTGTCACTGTCCTCCTCTACTCCAGGATTCCATATCTCCTGCTGGAGAGGCGAGGTGAGGATTCTGTTCTTCCACACCAAGTCGATCATAAGGCTGCTGGGACCACAGGCCATCAAGGATGTCAGGGTTACCAAACAACCAGGTCACCTTCCAGAGTCTCCTAAAGTAATGGAAATTCAGGGCTGGAAAGATGTTCCACACTCAGGGAAGGCATGGAGGGAAAATGGGGCACTTGTGAAGACCTAGGGAACCTACAAATAGTCAGTGTGTGAAGTGTGGGGATACCTAAAAGGAGAAGCCAGGGGTGACTGAAAAAGACCACTTGCTTGTCTCAGGGCAGAGGACACCTCTCTGTGGACCTCAGGATCCACTGCAGGACACAGCTCTGTAATATGAAGAGTACTTGGAGGCAAGAAGATCTAGGCGCTCTCCTGGGAAATCCTTCATTCATACAGCCATTAATAGGTATTTTTGAGACCTAACCCAAACTATGTGACCTCGGGCAAATTGTTTGCCCTGTCTGTACCTTACCCTAGGTATAAAAATAAGAACAATGAAGAGTCCTGCCCCATCAGGTTGTGCGAGACTCGAGTATGCTGTATCAATGTGAAGTACAATGCATGGAAGGAAGTCAGTGCCCCCAGGATGTTCACTGTACCTATCACAGTGATCACAGGGCACATGCTGTACATGTGACATGGTAGATGGCAAGCACGGCTTACCATCCTGCCCTCAAGGAGGTCACAGCCTAGCCAAAGAGACAAACCAAAGAAGAAAATTTTATAAAAGTAAAAAAAAATAGGGCTGGTGAGATGGCTCAGTGGTCTAAAGCACCTACTTAGAACAAGTTTAGCAAAGCACAGGGACCGCAGTTCAATCCCCCAGCACCACATGCCAGCCAGCCCCGCCCCCTGGTGGGCTGAGCTGGCTATACACACACACACACACACACACACACACACACACACACAAAATAAATAAATAAAATTAAAAACCATTGCAGTACATGTAAATCTAAACCCTAAACTCAGGTGTGCAAGAAATATTCAGTTTTTTATTTTCTCACAAACAAAACTGAGCCTTCTTGGGGTCATGATGGGCAGCAAGATGGTGTCTGCCAGTTGGGTTGTCCAGGCAGTCAAGCCACATACACCATTAATAAGGTTTCCTGACAGAAGAGAATCCTAAACCCAGTGGATCAGAAACTTTGAGATCTGCAGGGATCCCATCTCACTCTTCTATAATTTCACAGCATTCTAAAGGGAGTAAATCACTGGACTTGCTAATGCGTCCAGGTCCACCAGACACTGCAGAAACAATAAAAATGCTACCTCAGAAGTATAGAAGGAAACTGATATCTCAAGAGGAAATAGAGTTTATACAATGTGGAGGTTCAGAATTATGACTGTGGCTGCTGTTTGTCATCAGACAGAAGAATTATCTTTATAATGAAGGACTTCCAAAATGACATATGAAAAGTTGTATATTAAATAACTTAATAAATAGTCTACAAAAAAGAAATACAGAAAATTTTGATGAACACGTGGATATTCTAATTTATGTATCTTGGTCAGCTTCTCCACCTAATTGTTTATATACCTTCTACTTATTAAAGTATACATTTGGAAAAAAAAACAAAAAACAATTGAAAAGTAATTCAATTCTTCTCCAACCTCCATTCTTCCAGGTTAGAATGAAATTCAGACTCCATCCTTACTGGACTTGGCACTCCGCCAGAGGACAAGGGGGATCCAGGTAGCCCAGCTGGTGCTGGACCACAGAGACCTCCGGCCACAGTGCTCAAGCCCTCAACACCCCCCAAAAGCAGCAGCACCTGCTTCCAAGCAAAGCAAGGCATCTGGGCTTCTCGCTGGAGGCTGGGACCCTCGGGCTGGGCTGAGCCTCCCCAAGCCCACATCTGCCCATCTCCACAGCTGGCCACCTTCTGGGCAGGAGAGTTCCCTGCCTTGACTCCACAGACTCTCCTTCCCCCCTCTGAGAGCCTCTTTCTTTGCCTTGTTCTTATCCTGGAGCAATGAGCAATCTCTCTACACCAAGTGTTTGCAAGTTCAGAGTCTCCACAGTCCATCAGGCGGTGTCACCCAGCAGTTCTAGAGCCATGCTACCTGGGTTCGAATTTTAGTGCAGTTCTTTGCTGTCTGTGATTCCTCAGGCAAGCCACACAACTTCTCTGTACCTGCTGCCTTAACCATGAAAAAAAATTATATTTGTCCCAGTAGGGACAGCTTCACATGAGAAAGAACTTAGCACTGTGCCTGACATTAGTAGGTTTTCAATAACAGTACCAAGAGTGCCCGATCTTCTAAATGTTCAAGAACAGCCAACTAGTCCAGCTTTTATTCCGAAACTGCTTGGTAAGTAGGCAGGGGCAACGCGTGCAGGCCTCGGTGAGGAGCATGAAATCGTCTTGAAGGTGAAGGGCAGTCATAGCAGGATTTCAGCGAATCCATTCATTGGAACAGTCCAGGAGGGATGGTGTGGCTCAACTTGGCCAGCAGCCTTGGACATGGACAGACCCAGATTTCTCTGTCTGGAATCAACGTCAAAGTCAAAGGCTGTGTTTGAGTCTCAGAGCAGGTCAAGCATAGGCCTTTCCACAGCTGGGGCTCCTTCGCCCATCCTGCTGCACACGGGCACAGGCTCAGGCTGGATATGTTAGCTGGCCGAGGCTGCCCTCTGCTGGCAGGAGAGCACACCACCTCGAAGGGAACAGCTGCCCCCCGGACACGGAACTCCAGACCGATTTAGAAAGACGGAAGAGGGACGGGAGACGGCTCAGTAGAATAAGCGCTTCCCTGACAAGCAAGGGCCTGAGTTCAATCCCCGTTTCCGCAACAGGAGAAAAAGAAAGACAGAAGACACCACCAACCAGGTCCTACCAGAGTTTCCCACTGTATCATCCTATAGCTCCTTTCCAAAATCCAGGACGCTAGAGGCCGGAATGGGCTCATACCAGTGATTCCAGCACTCAGGAGGCTGAGCAGGAGGATCACGAATCAAACCATTTTGGACAATATAGTGAGACCTTGTCTCAAGAATAATAATAATAAAATAAAAAAGAAGGAAAACAAAGGGACTCCTCTGTCATACTACCTCCTCCCCCATGCCCCACTGTCTCAGTCACTCTTCTCTTGTTGCTGGGACAAATACCCAACACTCAAAATAAGGGAAGGAAAGATTTATTTAGCTCACAGTTAGTGGAGGTTTCAAGACACTGGAGGAGAAGCTGGGGCACTGTCCAGGATGACATCTGGACATCAGGATGACATCTCCACATCCCTGAAAAAGCACAGGCCACTAGCCAGTTTAACGGTTCTCGCCTCTCTGCTCTGTCTCCACCCATCGGGCCCGCCCTGGTCCTCTGGCCCCGCCCCTCAAGCCATTTGTTGCTCCTCCAGGCTCGTCTGCCCCATAATCTACAAGAGGCTTTGGGAGGACAACTAGACACAAACCATGGCACTCACTACGGAATCTTTTTCATTCTATCTCCTCAATGAAATCCTATCTCAGATAATTTCTTATATATATATATATATATATATATTTTTTTTTTAAGGCAAACTTTTATTTTATTTATTTTTTTTTTGGTAGGACAGTTTCAATAATTAACACATTGCATACATTCTTCCTAGTAGTTAATTGCTGTACAAGATGACATGATATCCTATTTACAAACACCATTAGAACAAATCACTCTATTCGTTAAGAGAATGTCACTATATATCTATCCCAACCACTTTGAATACACAGATAAAAAATGTACATTCATCTGTATCCCCTTTTTTTGTTAAGTTCTGTTATTTGAATATTATAGGTGTGTAAACTCAGCAAAATATTCTAAAAGAGTCCAGTAGCCCATAATAGTATTGGGTCTTCCACTTCACTGGCAGTGTCAGAAATTGTTGACCTGAGTCCCCTACAGCTCAACATAACAGCATGGCTTTACTTCTTTTTTTTTTTTTTTTTTTTTAATATTTATTTATTTATTTTGTGTGTGTGTGGCCAGCTCAGCCCACCAGGGGGCGGGGCAGGCTGGCTGGCATGTGGTGCTGGGGATTGAACCGCGGTCCCTGTGCTTTGTTTAGCTTAGCTTGTTCTAAGTAGGTGCTTTAGACCACTGTGCCATCTCACCAGCCCCATGGCTTTACTTCTTATATTTCGTTTTTATTTTTCTCTGCTGGTCTCAGAAAATTTCTTGATCATGTCTGTGCCCACTTCTGTTTCCACTGCCCACACCTTAGTTGAAGCCCCTAGCAGTACTTTTTTCCTCTGTTTATTCATTGTTACTCTTCTCCTAGCCACTCCATTTCCTGCTGGGCAGCCAGAGTTCACATAGCATCCTCTGACCCTGTAATTTTTCTCCTTAGCTTTCTTCTCCTCTACCACTGAGTGTTAAACAAAGAAACTGCTCATGTACAACCAGCTCCACGCACGTGGAAAACTGTCCTGAAGATGAGGGGGCCCCCACGGTGCTCATATCAGGACCTCACCAACAGGGGACTCCATGGCTTCTGCCGCAAACATTTCCATCTCTTACATGGAGTCCCAGCCTCTCCCTTCTACCTGCTCTTCTCTTCCTGCATCTTCTCCTCCTGTCTCCTCCTACAAACTCCTGTTCCCTCCTGATGGAAAGCAGGTTTGCCATTTCAGCCCTGCCAGCCAGGGAACACCGGGTGTCACATTCCCCCCTGGCCCCCAGCAGGCTGTCAAGAGCTCTCTCTTCCCCTACACATAAGCAGTCTC